AAAGTGACTGGAGACATTTATTCAAAGTACTTGGTTTTGCAGAGTTCAAATTGAGATTTTTCTGTCTCCTTCCTCTCCCCTCCTCTGATTCTTTTGGACAGATCCTTTTTGTAAGGAAATAATTCTTTAGAACAATAATTTGGGATTTTTAAGAGCTACTGTGAAGAGAAGGAGAATAAAGAAGAAAACCAAATCCTTTAAAAGACAGCTTAGGAAATGCGTTTGCAGGAGAAACTGGACCATTTCTTAGAAGATTTTGGTGAGAAATAATGCAGAGTGGGTTTTTTGGCTTCATCACCTCAGTCTCTAACAACTACGTACATTACTTAAGGTAAACATACAACATGAATATTTTTCAAAATTGTCTATTGATTTTTTTTTTTCCCCTTCCATTTCAGGCCACCTTTTTGTCCCTGACTCTAAGACTCTGTGCACCCACCACTCCAGGATCTGTGAATGGCTTATCCTGTGACACCAGCACCTCACAGGACCCAAATTAAATTAAAACTCTTGGGAAATGATTTATTTTAAAACCCCACAGGCTCTTGGTGTAGATGGCTCTGAGGCAGAGCCAGAGCCAGCCACATTTACTGCAGATGGGCTGGCAATGGCTCTGACCCAAGCCTTTTAGCTCTTTAGGCCAGAAGTTGGTCCATCTGCACAGCAAGGAGGTTGTTGCTCTTTAGGATCCCTGGGTGAAAGAGACTCTATAAGCACAACATCACTTAATTTATAATAAACAGAAGGGTGACTTCAGCATCTTTATTGCTATTTCTCATCTGCTGATCTGTATAAATAGGAGACTTATTTCTACAATATTTTTGCTTCTGGTGTCTGTGCAGTATAAGGCAGGGTAGATTTAGTGGATAAAAGAGCACTTAATTTTTCCCTGCTGGACTTGGGGTAGGCACACTCTTGGAATGACTTTCAATGTGATGACTGACAGTCCATCTGTGCTGTGGGTGGTATGAGAAGCATCACCATCTGCATGTGTGTGAGGCACATCATCCTTATGTAAGAGAAGTCACCTCCCCCAGCATGTCCCCCCTACGGGGGCTTGAGCCAAACCCTCTGCTAGCACGGGACTGACTGTGACATAGCGAGCCAGTGCAAATTTATACGGACTGAGGGCCTGACCCTCCTTGTCACCCTCTCAAATCGTCTCTTCAGAACACGCTGATTACTAAATTAATTGTTGGCACATTCAAACAGATAAACTGAATAGCCTCCTGTTTGCTTGAAATAACTTGGCAGTGATCATCACCTTGAAATGATGCTTAGTCCTGCCATTTGAAAATGTGTTGCCTTTAAAATTTAATTGAGATTCCCTTTGTTTGGTGTTTATTCAAATGGCTCACTTGAATTGCCCGATTTACCTTCTGGGCTAGTCCCTGTATGCGTAATGCAGCATCCACAGATAAACGCACTCAGTTTAGCATCTCTCTTCTCTGTCCTAGAGATTCCTTATTCCTTTGTCCTTCCTTACTTCGATACTATTCTGGTTGCTAGCAATCATGGTTGCCGCCTCCAGCTTAGCCAGCGTGGGGGGTAAGGTGGATGGAGGTGGGACAGTCTGCAGGCGCATGGTCGCCGGCAGCATTGTCATTTTACCACTGCATGTGGATTTCCCACAATGTTTTCCTGTGGACGTTTCTATCGGTGTGATGTTTCCATGATGAGTCAGTTCCTCCTGTTCAAACCACCTGACAAGAACCTGCCAGGCCCCTGTCACCATCCACAAATGGGTATGAGATGGGAGATACTGTGTGGACTCTGATGGATCTCTTGCTTTGAGGTCATTTCACCAATAGTGAAAAAACCCAGAGCTGAATACTGACCTTTTCCTACTCTTCAGCCCCAGGGGCCAGGTCTGCTTGTATTCAGGGACTGTTTATGTCAGGAGTGTCCCCATGGGCAACTTGGAAGGTGGCAGTTTTACCCAGCAGATGTAAGTCGCATACTGGGCTAGCACAGAGCTGTGCCCGCTGCCCAGCAGCTCCCCTGGCTCTGCCACAGAGGGACCTGCCCCGAGGCAGAGGAGCAGGGCCCGGAGGCTGCCCACCCCACAGCACCCTGCGGCTCCATCCCACCCAGCTGCAACCAGGTCTGGGCTGGCTGGAGGCATCTCTCCCTGCATTTTGCTTTTCATGACATGGCTACCATTATACGGGCATGGTGTAGAGCTGCGCGGGTTGGCTTGGGCAGCCTCTTCACCCCCACCTTTCGGTAGGTGATGCCCATTTCTCCTCGTTCGAGAAAGCTTTGACACTTGATTTATTTATTTACCTAGCTGCGCATCTCCCCCCAGTACCAATTTATGACTTAAGGAAAAAGACTTTCTGTAACTACTCAGCAAGGATCACATATCCTAGTGTTCTTGTGTGTCTTTTTGGTGGCAAGGTGTGACGGACCTGGGTTAGGAAGCAGAGGCTCAGGCTGCTGCTCAAGCTGACTAGCAGGGAAGAGGGCCTGGTGGCCATCTGGACCAACACTTCCCTGAAATGTGTCTGGGGTTTTTATGCAATTCTCATTGCAAGAAGCATGGAGGAGAGGGAGGTGGCATGTGAGGCACTGCCATCTGAGGTGACTTACTGGAGAGTCTCCTGTTTTTTAGGCAAGAGACCAGTGGAGGAGTGCAGGTCCAAGTCATCAGTATTAGCTAGGGACTCTGAGATTTGTACAAGCCCTCTTCCTAATGCTGCTCCTCTGTTTCAAGGATTTATATAATTCCTATTACTTTGTTCTTTTTATTCCCTCTTCTCTAGACTCCATCTTCTGTTTTGCCATGAGAAGATGGAAAATCTGAGCTTGACTTTAGGCAAGGAGGAGCAGGGACAAGAGCTCCATGGGAAAACACCAGTTGTGGCCAGGGAGCCCCTGACAGCATTGTTTGTGCAGCCCAATGGAGGATGAGTGCCACCCTCCATATTTCATAAACATCTTTATTTTCATCTATTTCTTTCTGGCAGAAAAAGGTGCTTTCCTCCATGCATGAATACCTCTCCATTTCAGAACCAGACAGCCGTGAAAAATTTCATTCCTTATTCCCCCAAATTCCTTCCCTGGGATTATGATGGTGCTTCAGAGGAGCAATCTGAAATGTATTTTGAGGGGAAGAACAGGATTCAGTTTGGGAATGTTATCTGGGAAGGAGGGTTTCAAATGCTTTGTGTTCTTATTCTTTTCCCACCTTCTGGTTGCTAAGTTTTGGGCAGGAAGTGACTCTGCAGGACATTCTCTCGTTAACACTGATGCCTGCAAGATGCTGTCTCCTCAGAGAATGGGGACAAGGAAACATCACTGCTGCAGCTCCACGGAGCTGGACACCACAGTCACACATCCCAGTTGCTTCTGTGAGAAACACTTGGTTTCTCTGACAATTTTTCGTCCCTCCCACCGCAGAAAAGCTCTGTTAGGGTTGACAATCACTTTTCAGTTGAGAAATTTAAATTCTAGTGCTAGGTTCCCATTCAAAACTACTTTTGAAACAATTTTCAACAACTATTTAGGGGTGGTTTCTAAATAGTGTTTTATGTAGACCATTTATTTTTCTTTTCCCAGGCTAGAGGAAGGGCTGAGAAACCAGAGAGTCCCTGCCTGCAGTGCAGAATTTTTGGTGGAAATCTCAGGGCAGCCTTTTCTCCCCAAAAGCATGCTGCAAAGCTTGGGTGCACCTGTGTAAACAGAAAGAAAACTATGAAAGAACAGTCAGTTGCATTCTCTATATTGCATGTTCCCCTCCTAGGCGCCACCATCTTTCTGAGCAAAGACCTAATTTAAGCATTTTCCTGTGCAAAAAGACAGGATTTCTTACGGCCCAGGCTAGGGAGGTCTCTAGCCAGCAGATTACACTTACTGTAGTATGATGTAGATGAGGGTGACAGGTATATAATACCAGGCTATTGATGCCTATGTGGTTTTTCCTAAAGCAAGCATCACTGGTCTTACCCTGCTCCTGCTCAGTTTATCTCATAAAAATCAAGAGCAGAGCATATCTGTGGCCAGTTTGATGCATCCTCACCAGTAGCTCAGATGAAGGCTGCCTAGGTAAGGTCCACACACAAACAAGCCACCTAATTCTAGGCAAGGTTTTTGGCTCTGCTTTCTCAGCTCTTTCAAAGCAGTAACACTTCAGGGGGAAAAAAAAAAACACCACAGAATTATCCACACAGAGCAGTAGTGCCCTTCAGTTTGTGCTGCTCCAGGCTGGATAAGCCATTTACCTGGAAATTCCTTCTGCTTGGTGGAAGTAAAAAGAACCCCTAAAAGCCAATCCCATGTAATCTGTACGAAAATATTAGCACCATCAGGTGATCAACAGCTTCAGGAGCAAGGAAACATGCCTGAACCCAACCAGGTGCAGCCAGTGCATCCAACTGTAGCTCTAGGGAGATTTTCCCTTTTTTTCCCTGTTCTGGTTTGATAGCTTTTTCATACCCTTTGCCCTCATGTAAGCAATTGCACGAGTTGCAGAGGAATAAACAAAAATCAAGCCCTTGAATGCAATTGCTTACTGGGAAAAAGACCAAAGCAGAGAGCCATGAAATACGTGTATGTCATTGCAGGCACAGCCAGGTTTGCAGGGCTGTGAAATAGGGGGGGCTCCTGCTGCCTGGGCTGCCCTGGGAGTGTACTTATCTTTATACAGATTTACAGTAGAAGGGAAAATCTGAAAGTGGCTATAAAAGAGACCCATTTATTGCTTAACTCCGAAGCTCCCTGACTCATGGGGGAACGTGTCCCTTGCCACAAAATCAAAACAGATCCAAACAGCATTTTCTTAGGCTGAACTTTTGCAACTCCAAACAGAAACACTCCAATGTTTTGTGTAATGCAAACTAACTCTAAATCAACAGCTTGAAGCAGAGACAACACGAGGCATAAAACCAGTGTCATTTATTTTTAATAGGTTTCGTTAATTACCATTTAAAGAATTTAAATAACCACACCAGTACCTCTAGCAGAAGCGCCCAGCTGATGTGCATCTGCAGCTGCCCCAGCCCAGCTCTCCAGCTACCAAGAGCCCCAGGTATTTTGGGCCTCAACGTATGGCATTTCCCTTAATGTCCTGCCTACTGAAAGCCATGGTCCTGCAGCGTGCCAGGCAACCAGGCTCTGGACTGCTTTGCTGAGCTTGATTTAGTCACTCAAGACCAAGCATCACCAGAGGGAGCTGCCTATTGTTCACTTGGAGGTGTGGCTTAAGGTAATTAATTCCGCAATTTAGCTAAGAAGGCAGCTCAAACCCTGCCAGTCTGGGAGCCCACATGTAATGGCAGGGCTTCAGAGAAAAATGCTGCTGCCAGTGGGCTCACTGTTTTCCCATTATACAAGCTGTGTCTGTGGTGACACCGGGGTGATGCTCCAGGGCCGAGGCCGGGAAAGGGCATGGGGCTGGCACGTGGTGGTGGTTTTCATCTGGCTTCCCCCGCTGAGCCCCCCGGGCCGCCTTGTCCCTGAGCCATGAGCTGTTTTCTCCACAGTTAACAGGGCGCGACGGTTCCAGCTGGTCCCAAGCCATCATAATTAACGCCACAACTTTCTCATTTCTCTCTGGTTTTCAGACTCGTGCCCAGGCTCCTGCCAGCTCTCATCAGCTGGCCCCCTGCTGCCAGCCGAGCAGCAGCAAGCAGGGGGAAGGACCAAGGCGACTGCCAGGAGATAGAAGCAAAAAAGGAGAATCAATCTGGGGAAGAGGCTCTGAGAGAGATGCTCTTGGAGGCCCCCAGGAGGTCAGTCCCCAGGCTTTGTGTTTCAGATGCCCAAGCAACCAGGGAGAGCAGTAGGCACCACCCCGGGTATTGGAAAAACGTAATGCTTTAGGACTGGACTTCTGCCAAGCAGCTTCTCTGTAGCCTGCTCCTCTGCTTCTGCCTCCTTTGACCAAATGAAGCAGGCTGGCTGTTGGCATGAGCAAAGGTGAATCAAGAAACCATGAATTTACAGTGATGCATGGTCAGACAACATGCACGCTCTCCTTTACGCTGTGCAAAATGGCACATGTGCCCCAGCAAAGAACAGCTCCTATCCCTCCTATCTCCTCACCACCTCTCTGAGCCCGCTTTAAGACCACCTGGTACTGTGGGTCCTGGGATAACTCCTTTGTGCAGCCCAGCTGCCTGCCAGGAGCCCACAATGGTGCAAGGTCAAGCTTTGCCAGGTCTGGACTGGGACTGGTGCATCACCTCCTACCTCAAAGGTTTAAAGTCTGGTCTTGGTATTGCAAGCCTCTCTGCATTTGGTGGCAGCTTCCCACTCCTCTCCCACTGGCTGTGGAGCAGCTCAAGCAATGAATAGCATGTCCGGTGGGTGTGTGGGCCTCAATCCCCACCATTTATCAGAGTTTCCCCCTCAAGGCATCCAGGGGTGGGGGTGGGTGTCACCTGGCAGGGCAACCAGCAGCAGGGCAAAATATGGTCATGTGGAATGTTAAAAAAAATTTGATTCATAGCTGACTGTGTTATAAGAACCCAACATATCTAGGTTTCCTCATGGATAATTCACAAGCAGAAATAGTTTGCTGGCAACAACTCACCTTGTTCTTTTTATCATATGTATCTTGTGTATGTTGCTACATTAAAAGCAACATGAAAACTTAGTTGTCTGCATGTACTCAGTATAGACATCTCTATAACATCCAAGGAAAATGAGCTGTGAAGAGCCAGAGTGCTTTTAAAAGAGGAATGCTTTACTGAGGGGAAAAAAATCAGCATTAGAAAGACATCCAGCAGATATTTCTTCTCTTGGTCTAGTTACATTTGTTATGGGAAAGGTGGGGAATTTCTACCTAAAGCTGGAGCCAAGCTATTACTCCAAACCAGAGGGAGAGTGTTCAGCTGAGAAATGCTTCCCCACCTGCTAAACCTTCCCCAACATGTAGAAGAGCCGTTTCCCCACTCCTGACAATGAGTTATAGCTGTACTTTTTGTCGCAAGTGATCTATGATGTTTTTATTTCTCAGCAAGGTTTAATCTTTAAATTCTCTTCCTTTGCAGAGACAGAAGGAAGGGAGAGGTAACAGTACTTGTAAGAAGGGCCACAGGTGAAGGATCTCACTGAGGGGTGTTGAACAAAGCCAGTCTTGGTGAGGGCTCCCCAGGCTGCAGTAAGGTTGTGCTGGAGTCACCCATGTCAGCTCTTTCGCTGTGGGATTGCTCTGTGCTTTCAGCTACAGATGGAGATTAGAGCTCGGAAACAAAACCTCCTTCTCTTTGACGATGAGTTCACTGGGTTTGAAAAAAATCCTTCTGGCTTCAGACCCCAGGTCACCAACTTCTCCCCCTCCTCTGCTCAGGACCCAAGAAGAGGCAAAATGGTGGCTGGTTGGTGCTGGTTGTCTCCTTCCAGCATGTTTCCAGCTCCAGGGTCTTCTGCCAGCCCTCAGGGACCCTGGTCAGAGCCTGGGGGCCAGGAAGGCTCAGTGACAGCCACAGGCCAGGGAAGGGACTGCTGTCCCCATGCCGAGAGAAGCAGGAGCCTGGCCTGCCAGATAACCCATGGCCTGGTGGAGGGGCCCTGTGCTGTGGAAGCGATGCTGAGCTCCGGGACCTACCGCATGGTACCTCACGGCAGCACCCACTGCGGAGTGCTGCTGGGCGAGCACAGCGTCTCCCTGCACCCGACTAGCTGCACCAGGGGTGAGCCGCAGCAGGTTAGACCGGCTCTAACACCAATACTCCCGGGAAACACCCAGAGGCAGCTCTCTGATGACCCCAACATCCTCCAGACACCACAGACTCACCTGGAAATAGGTGCAACACCTCACAGCATCCTCCTAAGACAGCATCCTCATAACTGAGCCTGGACTGAACATCTGGGTTGGGGATAAGGATTTAGAGGGAAGAGTGGGGGTAAGGAAGACTAATAGGGCTGGAGTGGAAATGTTTATTTTGCTCCAGGATTTTAATTTATGTGATCTGCCTGGTGCAGCTCTAGCAGCCTCATTGGAAACCAGCTCAATAACCGTTTAATCCGCAGTCTCCTTCAGTCCTCTGAAATGGGGGGGTCTCACCTTTCCCCACCCCCCCCAGCTCCACAACCACTAGCTATATAACAGAGGTAGGAGGGGGTTAACTCTTAGGTTAATTATTTTGAAAATATTTATTCATGACACATCTCTTAGTAAAAGTGCCTTGACAGGGTGTTAGGATAAATGATTGAATCTTTATGGAAAAAGAAGGGGAATATTTTCTGTTCCTGTCTGGTATCTGAGTGCTGATTAAAGTGCATCCCAGTGCTGTGGAGGGCTTGCAGTCAGGGCAGTCCACAAACCAGCTGAGGCTGTGTACCACACTTCCCCCTCATTAGCACATTTTTACAAACTTGCTTTCATGCCCTTAGTTCCAGAAGTTGCTCATCAGACACCTCATACCAGCCTGGTGAACTCTGCCCAAACCTTCAGAGAGCTCCATCACAGGCCCCTCCATGGAGGTGTCCTGCAGAACAACTCTCTGGGGGAGGATGAGGCGGAGGGGTGGTGGGAGAGGGCGGGGCAGGCGTTTCTTTAAGTGATTCCCCATTAAATGACTTCCATAGCACCATACTGTCTTTGTGCCCTCCACCCCATCTAATTAATTAACATTTGGCCCCGCTGCAACGACTGCTGCACTGCAAACATGGGGGGGAAAAGATTTTGTGCAAAGTGAATGATGGCTGCCCCCACCTGCGTGAACCAAGGTTGCAGGTTTGCTTCTGCAGTGTGTCAGAAGATGCTAACGTGATGCACCTTTCTCCTCCTGTACCCTTTCAAAAGTTTAGACTCTAATGGCTTGAGATTAAATAAAATTAATGGGTTGGATCATTGTAACCATTAGATCTTTCCCAGTCTTTTTTTCGCCCTGTCTCATGCATAGTTTTCTTCCCTGATGGAGTTTTGGGTTTTGATGAGCTGACAGGACTCGACTCCTCCTGGGATATGATGGAGCTAACAACCCTCTTGCGATTTCACAATACACAGTCCAGAAGGAGGCATTTCTTTGGCATAAGAGGGCAGAGGTGAGCGAGCTGGAGGCTGGCTGCGGGGAGCCACCCTGGCTGGCAAATGCCCATGGCAGGCACAGAGGAGAAGAAGCAGAGGTTTGTGTCACAGCTTCCAGCAGGTAATGCTGGGCTCTATCTGCTCTGCCCCTGCGGGTACCTCTGTAGGGGTCAAAACTTGGCCATGCCAAACGAAAAGTAACCAACCTTTTTAGAGGCCTCACTAAGCTCTTTTTTTGAAAAATAAGTCCATAGGGCTGTGGATAACAGAGCTATCCCCACAGGCAGGCTGTGATCTGACTTGTCATTTGGGCTTGGGCAGTCCTGCCTTTTTAATAAAGCAATATGATTTAATGGTATTGTTTCATACAGGGAAGAAGAAAACAAATTATTGATTCCTTACTCACAAAGAGGTAGTTTTGCAGCCTCCCTGTAATACCAGCAATGATTTTTCAATATATAATGATTTAAAAAAGGGATAAGGACAGCTCATTGTACATTTGAGCATCCTTGGCAGCCCATTTTATTATTATAGGAATACACCGTTTGCCTTATAGAATTGTATAAGCACTGTATGAGATCAGACAAGTCTGACCTTGTGCCATTTCTCTCCTTGGGTCTCTCCTCCACTGCCCACTGTAACCTACCACAGCACCCAGCAGCCCTTGAAACGAGTGCATTATCCACCGAGCAAGCCTGTAGCTGGTGTGAATCAGCCTGCTGACAGTGCTGGAGGAGATGGCAACACCGAGACCTGCATCTCTGCAATCTACTGCTTTGGTTTTCATGGAGCAAAACCAGGTCTTGGAGATGCCTCTGTTTGTCCCAACTCAAAGGTGTCCTTCATCATGGGAGCCCCCCTGCCCATGCTGGATGGAGATGTGCTGCAGTGTGAGCATATTACAGGCGGCAATCAGCTGGGAGGTGAAAAACAGTTTTGCTCTCACCTGATTAATGTAGGCATGGCCTGAAGCACTTTCCACTATCAGCCAGGAAATCTGTGAGAGGGGCAGAAATTGAATTTCAGCCTCCTCTGTAGGAAGCTGGAGCCCTAATCACTAGCCCATCTCAGAAATGTAAATTTTGTAGAGTAACTCCTGCAGACCTAGTTTGCAGCACACAGCAGGAGACAGCCCTCTCCCTGAGATGATTAAAATCTGATTTATGAGGCATGGTGGACAGATGGCATCTGTTTTTTGCAGTCAGTGGTCCCTACAGAATAAAAGAGGCAAACTTCAAGGCCGTAGCTCTGAAAAGACAGAGAAAAGACTTTACAGCCCATGTCCGTGCAGGTGCCCGCATCAACACCTCCACTCCCACCATGCCAGGGCTCAAATCCACCAGCCCAGCTTTTCCCCTTTCCTCTGTCTCTCAGCAGCCAAATGTTTCCTATTTCCCAGTCGTTCCACTGCCCCACATTGTCTAAAGCTAATGTGAGGGCAGGCAAAGAGGTGGGCAAAAGCGGTTAAAATGGAGAGTGCCTGGCTGCTTTGTGTAGCAGCTCCAGCACACAGGGGCAGAGAAGTGATAACACTGCAGGCATAAAAAAGGCAGTCTCTACCAAGAGCAATCAAAACGCCTTGGGAATATGAGATTTTTTAGAAGGACATCTGCAAAAGCATCACCAGGCAGGAACTATGGGGAAGGATTGAGCTGCATTTCCTCCACACAGCCCAGGGCCAGGCTGGAGCGGAGCCCCCAAAAGCCCACTCAGATGCCACCTGCACAGAAACATCCATGTTTTGGAGGCTTTTTTTTCTACCTCTTGAACTTGAAAAGTCATGCCCAGCTGAAGCAGAGACAGCTCCCACATGTGTTGCTTGTTTCCCATTTCTGGAAGAGAAGCAAAAATGAAGGCAGGGAGATATGTTGGTTTACACACAGACACTGAGTGCTGGCCTTTTCCACCAGCACGGAGCTCCCTGAATATCAGCCAGCTCTTCCCAGCTGCCTCCAAACATCCCTGGCACATGCAAAATGCTTGCTGTGCACCACAGCAGTGGAGTGTAAATAAAAAAAAGGTCTTGCACAGGGACATGCCAGTGCCTGAGATGATAACTGGTGATGACCCAGAGCACAAGGCTGCAGTGAAGCCCCTGTGCGAGGCTGAGCAGTCAGACCCTCCTTTGGAGCCAGGACTGCCTTCGTTGGGGTTAAGTACATCGGTGTTGTGCGGTGCCAGGGATGCTGGTTTCTGGTGTCCTGGCAGAAAGGGAGGTGGGTGCTGCACCTCCTGGTCCTGCCAAGGGCAGGGTGTCATAGCCTACAGTCAGGGCAATGTGTTTTTGGCTACAGGCAGGGCAGGAGCCTGGGGTTGGCCTGGCGATGGAGGGAGGAGTGTCATCACTGCAGGGACCACAGCAGAGGCCTTTGACTCAGGTTTCTTGTCTTGTGCTAAAAATACCAGCTTTCAACAGGGAAGGTTGACTCTCTGAGGACACCTCAAGATCACAAACAATAAACTCAGATATGTTACCCTCATGCTTTCTTCTTACACATCTGCTCACACAGGCTGACTGCTCTCAGCGCTCTGTTCTTCCCTTTTCTTTCCTTCCTTTCTTTCTCTACGTCCCTTCAAAGGAAGATTAAGCAGCAGGACTTTCTGATGTCCTAATCCTGCCTTTGTGGAGGCAGAAAGCTGGACAAATATCACCTCAATGTTGATATCAAAAGGCTTATTTGAGCACAGTCAAAGTACACGGCCCCCAGGTGGTGCTGGCATCTCCACGGGACCTATGGGGGATTTTGGTGACACAGGGGCTGGTGGCACCACATGCCCCAAACCACCCCTGTGAAACAGGGAAGGCCCCAGCATCACCCAGGGGCGTAACTCAGCAGGTACCTCATCTCCTCCACCAGTTGTCTCCTCTCCCTCTAAAACCCTGGGCAAGATCACACCAGCCACTGCTGCTGCCTGCCTCAGCCTGAGTTTCTGGCTGAGTCAAGGCCAATGAGGGAGGCTGCATTTCTTGCTGGGTAGCCTCTCTCAGCCACCCTGAGCCCACGTCTCTGAAGACTTAAACATTGTTTGCTCAGGAATGTCCATGTTTGATTAGATTTGGCCATGGGTAATAACAGAGTTAAAGTTTCCTAAAGCTGCCTCCTAAGCCTTGGGACTGCAGCAAAGCAGCTGGGCAGGTAAGCTGATCATGTTCCACCGAGGCATGCTGCCCTAACCTGCCCCAAAGTCCTCTCAGCTCAGTTCTGGAGCTCAGTTGTGCTGTACGAGCAATGGTTTTCTGGCTGGTTCTGGCATGGAAGAGGCAAGATGCCTACACCTGGCCAGATCCCTCAGCCTCTTTCCCGAGCCAGCAGCACTGAAAGCACTTGCCAGCACTTTTCCAGAGGCAAAGCCTCCTTAGTTGTCTGACACCAGCCCTTCCACTTCATCTTCACTTCAGCCACCAGCTCTGGTCTGAAACCAGCTTTTTGGTGGGAAGAACAGACAGAAGGTTTGTGTTGAAATTGGTCCTGAATATTCTCCAACCTAGGGCTTGCACGCCCAGCAGCTGAATGGGGATAGCAAGCACTGGCTTCCCTTCTGCTGTTTGCTCTGCAAATAAAGAACTAGCTGGATTTCAGCTGGTGGGTGTGCTTTTGCTCAACCCCACCACAGAAACCACTTTTCTTACTGCCAGGGCTAGATAGAAGGGGCCGAAGGCACACCAGGAGTCCCTGACATGAGGTGACCCTCCATATAGTTCCTTTATGTAGGGGAAAAATCTGTTTTCAAACTTATGTCTGCAGAGAGGGTCCTTTCTCAGGCTTTCGTGAGGGGTTGGAAATGGGGAGGGATGCTGGTCCTTTGCAGCACTCTGCAGAGCCTCCCAGCTGTCCATGGCAGCAAACAGCTCACCTGTGCCAATACGGGTGGCTTTGTCAATAGAGGAGAGCAGGCTTCTGCAGCTCCTCTCCCCATGTGCTACCGGCATATGTCTACACGTTTAACTTTTCTGAGACCAGTTAGAGTTGCTAAAGGTCTTGGAGGCTTTCATGTCTTTTATCTGAGGTGAGGAAGAAGCAGTGCGAGCTATGCCACCTTAACCTTCCAGCTGGATCCCAACCATTTGGAGGACCCAAGGCCAACCTCCTGCCCCCCTTACCCTACAGCTGAGGATGGCAAGGATGCAGGATTGGGTGCAGATCCGGGGGAAGAGATGGAGAAGGGAAGAGCACTCAGGGTGTGCAAGCTCATCGTGAGCTGGGCAAGGGCCTGGCAGCACCAGGCAGAAATCACCAGCCAGGTGTGACAACGAGCTTCTGGTCTTCAGTGAAAGCAGAGAGGGAAAAGAGAACCCTGATCTCTGCACCCTTCGCTTTCAACTTCAACTTGAATGGCCAGGATGAACTCTTTCTGTACACCCGTTTAAGGGTCTTTGCACGTGATGCCAGGTTTCACACTCAAAAGAGAAAGCAAGAAGTGTCCATTCTGTGCATACATTTTGCACCACCTCTCCCCCTTACTCCAGATCAAGGAAAACCATCTACATTTCCTTAAATTGAATGTAATCACCACTTACCTGCTCCCAGACTATTTACTGTGGGCAAAGAGCCAAAATGGCAGAGCCTGACGAACTGAATAAAAACCGTTGAAGAAGATTTGCCCAGTTGTGGCAAATCTCAGCCTCCTGGTATCCTGTTAGCACCTAGGTGCGCTTCCTAGAAGCCCAAATCTGCTGCTCAGCTTAATAGATCTCCTTGTTTTCAAGTTTTAACTCAGAGGAGCCAAGAACTTGTTTAAGGAAAGGTCAAGGCAATAAACCCCAGATTGTTTATGTACATAAACAGCCCTGGGACATAACATGCTTTTCTTACTC